TGTTACTGATAGCGGCGGGGGTGGGAGGGAAAGCATAAAAACATCTGAAGTCTTTATAACTCTCACAAAAATGAGCAATGTGCAAAAGATTTTTTTCTTCCTCAGTGAGGCAATCTCTATGATACCTGCAGATGATGATATCCCGAAGTAAATTAATGAAGTGGTGACATTGAGGGAAGGAACAGCTGACAGCTTTGTATGGATCGTCAAGTGTGGAAATGAGTGATACTTTTTGGCAGACTAACTTGAAACAAGGATGATAAAAAATAGAACCACAGTAGAATGACAGAGGGAGCCCACTCACAAGTTGTTTACTGAAATGAAGACACAGCTGAAAGTAATTACTTGTTTCCCAGACATATAAGTGATAGTGCCTCCTACAAGAAATAGTACTTGGTTGTTTCAGTTGGAATGTAAAATAGGATAGAGAGGTTCCCTCTTTCTGAGGTTAGATGCTGGGTATTTTCATCTCCTTTCAGAACAGGATGTGTGTATCAATGTAGTACATATTACAGGTACAGTCAACCATCGATGTGCCACTGGCAATTAATAAGTGAGACAACGTCCAATATTGTTTTCCCTTAACAGCCAGATCTCACCGTACAGATTCTGATTAAAAGCCTGACTTTGCAGCGCGTAAGATTAAAAACACTCCTTTAAAATAACAGATTTCTGAAGATTACCCTCTCCTGGCTACAAAACCATCGTGAGACACGTGGAGGCAGGGCTGCGTGATCTTGCCGTTTTAGCTGTATGCAAACTGTAGTAAAATTACAACTGCATCAGTGCCAGCTACGCCGTACCTTCTTTCCGTGCTGAAGAACCCTCATTTTCTACGCTCTCTCTTCCAGACTGTGACATGCAGGAAGGCAACCTGGCAGGTTTCACAGCGGGTGCCTCAGTGCAAGCTTTTCCTACCCTGGGTTTGCAGATCAGCCCCTGGGAGCAGCCTCCTTTGCCTTGCCACAGGCTGTGGAAAAGGAACCGTTGCTCTTTGGAGGTTTTCTTCTGTTCACAGCCAAGGCTGCTTCTTCCCTGTGCCAGTTCAAGTTCTGACTTCTTCTTTTCTTCCTCCTTAAGTGGGGTGATTCACAAAATCTTCAGAAATATAGCATTGTACACAGTTTATAGTACAAAGGGGGGAAAAAAAAAGGTCAGATGAATGAGCATGAAGTAGATTTTCTCCTGTGTCCTTTGGAGGAGGAGCAGAAAGATGAGGAATGGTATCTATGCACAGTAGGTGTCTGCCTTGACCACCTGACAATACATGGTCATCGCAAAGGTGAGTCCCAGAATCTAAGAGAATAAAACCAGACAAACAATCTATAATTTTTCGGTAAGTAAACTCCCCTGTTTATTGAAACAAGACAAAAAAAAAAGAAAAAAAAAAAGAAAAAAGCGTGCTTACACTGGTTTTGTTCACACCCAGAAGGCACATCACACACGCCTTGTCCTGCTGGCTCACGTCCTTGTTCTGTGCTAGTTTCTGTCTGCCCTTTGGCCTTAGCTGGACTGCTGTTCTACAGCACGAACAATGAGAGCACGGGAGAGTGGATTTCTCCACGAAAAGCAGCCACCCGGTACTGGGCAGAGGTATATTGAAAAGAAATGTTTGGATATCTTTGCCTGAAGATATTTGCTAGCAGCATCCCCCAGCCGTGGGGCTGTGCGGTTATCTCTGGAGCTGTTGCTTTGAAAGACAATCAGCTCACCCCCGCCCGAAGGATGCTGTGGTGGTTACTGCACTTCTCCCAGAGTGTGTGTGCACAGGTCCCTGTGGGGGACGGGCGGGAGCCTGGCCATGCATTAATGACAGCCACCAATGCCTCATCACCAGTGGAGCTGTCAGCCTGGTCAAAGCAGCAGGGAGGCGGTGGATCCTGCCCCAGCCCACCCCTGCCCTGCTGTGCCACCGCTGGTAGACTTCAGCAGCAACGGGGATGGGGAAGGGTCGTATTTTCCTTGCAGTTTGCTTAAACTCCTATGAATACACTAAGTGGTTGTTACTGTTCCTTTGCAACACCGCTGTAAAGACTGTCACTGAAATAAAGGTTTGCCAGGCAGAAATTTTTGTATGAATTCTATTTTAAGCCTTTAATTTGACCACTTCAAATTTAGTCTTTACATAAATAGGGTTCCTGTTAATGAGTATTTTGAAGGAGCACATGAATAGCACACACTACTTTATAACCATTTTTTTTCTCTTTATTTTTTAAAGCTGTTATCCTCTTCATTTCCCATTCCTCCACCGTGAAATAAGAGTGCCAGGCTTTAGTGTACTGGTTTATGCTGAGCATCCCCTGAACACTGCCTTCTGCTTCCCAGCAAAGGACTTCCTCCTGGGACGGCTGCATAATCAAACCTCGGTGGCTGTGTTTGTTATATAATTTTGAGCATGCATGGCTGAAGAAGATTCTTCTGCCACATGTGCTGTATGTCCTTCAAGTTGTGTCACCGTATGATTGTAACGGTGAGATTGTTAATGTGAAAAACAGGAGCTGTCACCTGCTTAGGGCCAGAACAGCATCATAGCAACGAGGGAGGGAGCCCCGTTCATTCCACGTGCCAGGGCATCAAAACTTCCAGCATCAATCAGATTCAATCACACAGTGCAATGGGAAGACAGACTAAAAATCTTTTGTGTTCTGAGGAGCTGTCTCTGTATTTCACAGCATTTACTAGCAATATTAATTAGCATTTTTTAAACTGTCCGAAGTGTTTTCTCCCATGCAACCTAGTCATTTCTTTCTGACAGAAAGACAGTATTCTCTTAAATACAGTCAAGGTCTAGGAGAAGGACTCTGAGATGGCTGCTGAGTTTTTAATGTATTTTTTAAAGACTCTCTAAATGCTGACTAGATGCTCAAGAGCTGTTTTTTCCAATATGGTAACACATTAACAAGTCTTACATTGTCTCTCTGCCATATGATCCTGTTGTGCTTATCTTTTTTTCCTAAGCATATCTGCTTGCTGTGCTGGAAAACAAACCCCAGCCTGTGCCGAGTTTGTCCTGCGAGGAGTCAGGCGGTTGCACTAATGCGCTGCAGCCCATACGTGACATAGAGGAAGATAAGCGCCAGGCTGCCTGAGCTGACATCAGTGGGAATACGACTGGAGTGCTCAGCTTGCTGCTGCTAGTGCTATATCATGCACCATTAAAAAAAAAAAAAAAAGGTTAATGTGGAGTTAGATGGTATTAATTAGCTTAGTGATGCCGTCCTTTGTGCTTGTATGTTGAGTGGAGCTGGAAACTAAAGCTCCATCTTCCCTGCATGTGGGAAGGGGACGGTGGAGGGCTGCCAGGCAGCTGGAACAGCCTGAGCTCCAGCACAGCCCCACCCCTGTATCCTCCCGCCCGGGTTTGGGCCAGTGGGGTGGCCACAGCCACGGCGAGCTGGAGTGAAGACACAGCTACAGGAGAGACAAGGTGAGACACTGACGACTGATTCATCTCTGACCAAAGTTAGGCTGGAAATAACTGCAGGTCAAAAAGCTGAGGGGCAGGTCAGTCCTAGTCCCACCTGCCTCGTTCCCCTGCAATCAGCAGAGAAGGAGCAGGGGCAGGGCTGAGGGATGGTAACGACATCTCAACCTGTAACTCACCCTAGGGCCGAGAATGGGGCTGAAGACTTAAGCTAGCTGTAGGCGATCTTGAAGTTAGATATTTAGCTGAAGCAGCTTCTCTCTGGAGACCTACTGGACAAACACAGGTACCCCACAAGGCAGTGCACCCCCCGCCCCCGACGGGCTCCTGTCTCCGGAGGGGAGGACCACCTCTCCTGACTCTAGCCCAAGCCTTAGGTAAACCGCTCTGTAGTGCATCACAGAACAGAAAAGGTGTGCAGTATCCTACTTCTGTGCCTTGTACGTAGTATTTAAACTAAATTAAAAGACTTAAATCTTGCATAGTTTTACTCTAACATTTCCTCTGTCTTTTACTCTAACATTTACTCTGTCATTTACCCTTAAGAGCAGCATTTGGAATTATTAAAACAGGCTTGGGCAGAGTACATCTGGATCTGTGGTTACTTACTTAATTATGATTAATTAGGATTTGAAAATTGATATTGAACCGTACCTGCACCATAGCTGTGCACAATCCAAAGATTCCCACTGCTAGTAAGTTTTCCTGGAGCCATATTTTCACTGTTTCATAGCAAGGCTGTAAAAAAAACAACACCCAGAATATTGTATTAGCCATAAACACACAGCTCCGCTCCCATGGGAATGGAGAGACAGAAAAGCCAGCTCAGCCTAAGCCGCTGGCTCGCCTGGATTATCATTTCAGCATTTCAGTGTATTTCTGGGTTGAAGCTTGAACATGGAGCGCTATTTGTAACGACACAAAACCCGGCACCTCCACCCTGCTGCACGAGCACTGCTCCTTATACATTTGGCCCATAACTAAAAACAAACAAGCAGGGAACTGGGGTCCTCTTTGCCCTCTAAAAACCAACCAGAAGCAGGTAGAACTTCAGAGTGAGCCTTTCATTTTCACCATGTTTCAGGAAAACCAATATTTATTATAATGAATATATGTATCTCAAACCCCGTCGCCACTCCTGCTGCACATGGGCCCGTTTTGGACCATTTTCCATCGTTTCCATCGTTTCGAATTGCAGTAAGCGTGCTCCTCTGTTATTTTTTTCCTGCTTTAAATTCTGCAGTAGCTGTAACCTCATGGTCCTGGGCCAATTCCACACTCCCCAAAACTGGGGCAAGTGGAACCTTTCTTTAAATAACGTGCAAAAATTAAATCATGTCTGTAAGCCAGCCTCGTGCAAAGATTGTGCCCTTTGAATTGTAAAGGCACGTGGCTGGGAATTGCTCAGCCTTCAGGTAGTGCCTTCCACATATGTATAAAAGAAAAACTATTAATGGCACCAGAAGACAGGGTCTTACCCTGCACTGATCTTCTTGGTACCCCAAATAAAACAGAAGAAGAACTTTTAAGTACTTAAACTCACAAGTTGACGTGGAGCCACTTGAGAGGCAGAAGGCAGACGTGTTTCCTTGGAACTCAGCCCCTGCCACATGTATGAAATCTCACGAGAAAGGGGCCAAGAGAGCTTTACTCATTGTCTTCACAAACCATTAGAACCAGCAAGACTTCCTCATAACTGCAGTTCATCAGCGGGCCTTGCTCCACACCCCTCCTGGGTAACTGCACTCACTGACATTAGCACAAAGAACTGCTGGGCTCAATTCAGAGAATTTGGGCTCCGACTGTCTGCTCTGGAAAGATCTTGCCGA